CGGTCTTCGCAGTGCTGCAGCAGGAATGGCAAGTGAAGCTTCGTACCATTAGGTGCACTCTGCAGGCGCCGACAGGACATATGTCAACCGGAATCACCCCATGTTCTACTCCAAGCAACTCGAACCAGTAATCATTCCTCAAAGGACGATTGAGGACGATGCAGAGGCACCATGCACTGCAGTGACAACACTACCTATCAATGAATAAGACCCAGGAATAAGCGGCTGAGTATGCAAACGCTGAGTTCCAAACGCCACGCACTAAATCCTGCCCGAATCCCTTCATGATTTCTTATGTAGTACTCTCATTTGGCTGAACATGTCGGGGCCAACAGCTCAGAATGTCTGAACCTGACATGACATGCCAAAGCCTCACATCTATGAACCCCAAACAACATGGTTCCTAAACCATGAACCGTATCTCTGCTGGCCCCTAGATGTTGAGAGGCCGCACAGGTTACCCTGGAAAGGCCTATTCGGACCCGGTTTGCCCTTTCGGCGTACCAAGAGGTCCTCGCCCTTGGGCTCCAGGGATTGTTTAGGGTTCCTTTCAGGGTCTGGTTTAGAGTTTAGATCAACTGTCCAAGTCAGGCATTTAAGGGAGCCTGTATACCTTGTACTCCTGATACGGCACCCTGTAGTCTGGGATCCCAAGAAGGCGTCCCTAGTTTTGACAAGCCCGTATAGTACCGTGATAGCCCTCAACTAAACCCTTACCCTAAACCCTCAATCCTAAAGCAACCCAAGAGATCCCGTTGAGGAAGTTTTGACAACCATTCATCTGGGCTTCCTTGCAGGCTTGGAGTGCGGAGCTTGAGAACGGTTAGGGGTTTAGGGTTTAGGGTTTGAACCCTAAACCCTGGACTTTAACAAGAGCCCCTTGTATACCCTATCAATAGAGGGCTTCATATTACGGTTTAAGGTGTACACCCTTGATGATGTATAAGAAATACTGGTCTAAGGATGTTGTATACGTACTTGATGGTGAGGTTATGCCACATCAGTTCATCAGACTCAATAATTAGGGTTTAAGGTTTAGGGTTTCGTACGGGATACTGGTTCATGTACGATAGCCGCGCTGAGGGACACGTGCTTTCAGTCACATGTGTTAATTATCATGTGTTTGAGTAACCATAATCCCTAAAACCTAAAACCTGAAGTTACAGGCATAATGTAGGGGCCCTAAAAGTTAGAACAGGGTTTTGGGGGTTCCTCACTATAAGTATAGTATAATTACTCACAAGCCCTATTCTAATTATTAAGGCCCCTGTATCAAGAAACTGGAGCCCTCGAGGCGGGGCAGCGGCCACCTGAACCTTTGAAGCTGTCTATGCAATACTCCCTACGGCTCCATGTGCCTATATAGCATATACTTAGGCCTTCAAATACCTACATAGGGACCCCGTTAAGGCTTAAGTAAAAAAGTATCTACTAGAAAGGTACTTGGAGCCTTTGGGACTCGGACGGCAAACCTCATAGGTCGGGGCCGCTGCTTCTGATACTGCGACGGGCTTCGCCCATCACGCCAAAACTTCGCCGCTCTGTCGCCACTCGTGAACCCCCGGGCTCCAGGACTCTATAGGAACTACCTTAAAGGTATGATTCGGTATGATAGGTGTCCTATAAGGGTTAGGGCTCCAGGGATCATTACTGGGGTCGATTCGGCAACCGGAGCCCCAGGGAAGCACGCGAAGCAGTTTAAAGGTCGGCGCAATCCGAAGTGGAGGCGATGCCGGCAGCCGGGCCGTTGGTGAGCGCGGCCACCATGTCCTATACACTCTTCTTCAAGGCACATTGACACTTAGACTTTTCGTTCCTTCTAGATCTCAGAAACTAACAACAAGAGAGCAAACTTTCCCAAGAACGGCCAAGTGTCGGAGATGTCTGCAGTGCACAGGGCCTTCTGGTCGGCACCCACTTGGCAGTCCGAGACGGCGAGGGCCGTAAACTGGGAGATCCAAGCAAAGGAGGAAATGATGTTCATGATGCCAACAGCGCAGGACTTCGGGTCGGCACAAGCGCTGCCCGCGGCACGAATCTGGAGGATGACTCGGACGATGTAGGAAGCGGAGTTGGTGACGTCCACGGCGCACTGCACGATGTCGTAGTCGCGATTGCGCTGCTGGTCCTTGTGGCCCTTGACCTTCAAGGCCTTGTCGACCGCCGGGGACGCTCCTGCCGGGACGAACTCCTTCCAGGGAGGGGAGATCGTCTCCGTGCGCGTGAGGATCTGGAGGGCATTCTTGCCGAAGTTGCAGTCCGCCCGGGCAGCGGCGCCCACGGTGGCGATCTCGCCGAAGTTGGCCATGAGAGCTGTGAAGTCGCCAGCGCACAACGCACCGTTGTTGACAGCCTGGCCACAGGCGTTCGCCGCAAAGGAGAGGTACGAGGCGATCCAGCTGATGGACGTGATGAAGCCTGCGACGCTGGCGGCGCATCCAACCGGAGAGTTGTTCGGGCACTCAAGGCCGTCGTAGTCAATGGCCTCGTATTATAGGAGAATCAACCCGATAATACCTCCAACCCTACAAAGCCCCAAAACAAAGCTAGACCCTAAACCCTACAAAACCTATGCACCCGATGTGCCCTTATAAACCCTAAATCCCGGCACGTTAAAAACACATAAACCCGCTGAACCCCCAACCCGAGGCCGTGCTGTCAATGGCCTTGTAGAGGAACACGACAGCCTGGCCGAGGTAGGCGGCTGCCTGGACGGTGTCAATGACGCACTCCGTTCTGATCCTGAGCTTTCCAAACAGGAGACCAGAGGCTAAACTTTGCGTTTAGGATTGAACCTCGTTTCAGGAAGCGTACGATACGAAACTACAAGCAACAAAGCCAAAAAAAATAAATCCCATAAGCCGGAAAAAGCTAAAATCATGCTTTAAGGTTGGGTTTAATTGGAGAGCCAAGGATCCAAGGCAGCTCCTCAGGCTGGGAGTCATAGAAGAGATCCTGCAGATGTCGCACCGGGCATTGTGGTAGATTACTTTTTATGGGCATTGCAGGATTTCTATCATCAAGCATAATGAGGATCCCTTCCGTATTTTCAGGTAAGTCTAGCAGCCCTTTAGTTGAACATATACAACTCGCTAGTCCAAGGTGCGTACAAAATTCTTTAGCTGAGCGGTTTTGACTAAACCCTAAAGCCTCTACTCTCTACCCTAAACCCTAATCGCGGAACCCTATCACTATCGACCCTATATAGACCCTATACCCTAAACCCTAGACCGCGTCCTGCAGATTGCGCATTGGCTTGTCCTGCTTCAAGCTCTGAGCCTCACCAGGATTTTCATGTTAGGGCCTTACTCATTAGAATAGGGTTCCTTTTAAAAGGATCCTTTTTCAAAAGGGTTCCTTTTTTCAAGGTTCCGTTTTGAAGGGTTCCATTTCTTTGAAAAGTCTTTAATGTAGTGGCCTTAAAATTAGAACAGGGTCCTTTTAAAGGGCTCTATTTGAGAGCTACGATAAGCGGTATGTTGAGGCGGTTTGGAAAGGCCTTAATAGTAAGAAGACGGTTTTGGGCTCCGATACAATATAGTTGTAGTACGTAAGGAAGTCCAAAGAATAATATTGGTAGTTATGATGATCGAAATCTATATGATAAGGGATGGGTGTGTCCTGTGCACCTGTTTGATGTTATTTTTTAGGTTTTCGGACTTATCTAACAATGACATTAGAGCACGGAACTGTTTCGAAAAACCAGATATGTCTCGAAGCAGTGATGCAAACTCCCAAGATGCAGCTCACCAATCCTGGGGAAGGTCCCTTAGATGACATGCGTGAAGCAAGCATCACAGTGTTTATCGAGTCGTTTCTGCTGTCTCTCCAGCTCCTTGACTGCAAGTCAACATATGAAGACGTGTATGCAAGTATATATTGAGCCAGAATATCAAAGCAAACAACATGGCATCGCCCGTTCTTTTTTGTACATCCCCGATGACAGGCGTGTACTGAAATACACTTTCTCAGGTACACATTCAATTAATGCTTGTTAGAGGGCTTCTTCAAATTTCTGCTAGATGGCCGCTTGCGACCTTGGCAGATACACTGAGAACGCTTGTTCTGCGTGAAGTACGAATTGGGACGCCTTTCAGGTTGGATTATATATAAAAGTCACATGCTTCACGCATCCAAAATCGAGGGAGAGTGGCCTCAGCCCATTGACAAAGAAGTTCAACGATCTAACCCAGGCAATAAAGGATTCTGCAATATTTGTGCGGACTATAGTTTACAGCTTTTTTTTCTCACGTGGTGTCCATTTTCTCTCGGAGCAGATGTGGTTGGGTGCATGAAAAATGTCGACGATGTAGCAGTACTTCACGGAGTCAAACTGTGAGAATCGCATCTGCTTGATGTAGGGCTCGAAGTGACAGACTGCATCGTGCATGAGCAAATCGACATCAACGTTCTTCATTTTGTTGGCATTTGTGAGAACCTTGACCTTGTCGTCCGTGTTTTCCTCCACTAAGTGTTCAGTGGCTCCCAGGATCCGTCGACTGTCAGGATCAAGTACAAATTGCCAACCTCCAGTACGTTGGGGAAGAGCGAGTCGCTTGCAGTGCCTTCGGCGGCATGAACATGAGCGCTCATGTTCTTTGAGAAACTTGCGTGGATTGCCTGCCTTCATAATGGTTCTCTTCGGGTCAACGCCGGTCACCAACCGAGAAGTGTCCGTCAAACGCAAAAGCCTTCACTGGCGGGAATAAGAAGACTTTGCGAAGTCCACCAAAGTGTTTGGCAGGGTGCCCGAAATTGACCTGAACGACTTCGTCGGGAGTTCGCCTTGCCAATGCAAAAGCTTCCAGAGCATGTAGGAGATAATGTCTAGTGTTCTGTTTGTGCAGGAGTGGGCTATCACCCTCACGGTGCAATTCCATCACACTTGCCTCTTGTCCAGGAACAAGCCTACCCCTGAGAAGCCTGAGAAAAGTCAGGTGAAGGTGTTCCGTGTTCCACTGCGAAAGCAGCCTTGGAATTGACGAAGAGGACGCTCGAGCTTGTCATGTCGTTGTAGGTCATGGTATTGATCTTCCCCCCTCAGGAACATAATGTTGTGCCTCACGTTTGTACGGCATCTGTTGCACGTCTTCAAGATGGAGTCAATGTCGGTGATGGATCCAGACCCTATGAGGATCGCATCACAGTGCACCTCCTTTCTCTGGAAGAGGGCTTTCCCACATGCTGGGCATTCTTTGTTCGCGAAGACGTGGGGCCCCATGACTACATGACCTACTATGCCAGGCCTGATTTACAAGACAAATCCTCAGGCAATGTCCATAAGATCATGAGATTTTGCAGGGCTTCTTTACCCCTTTATCCCATTCTGCAAAGCTCATGTTGCAGTCCTGAACTGCTGTGGCAAGACTACAGTCAAACAAGAGTCGAGTGACTGCACTGAAGCCACCACAATGATGATGCTTACTCAGGCTGTTGTATACTGATCTCGATGCCCATGCAGTGTCTCTCTGGCCTATGGCAGACTACTACACTGAGCACAGCCGTGAACAGTATAGCTAAGCTCGTACTCTGGTTCAGCACTTACATGTGAAAAAGTTCGTCATCTGAAACCACGTCCATCTCACTCACTCTCGTCTTCCTGCGCTTGGTTGGGGCAGGGCTAGGTGTGGGTCGATGTCGTGCTTCACAGAAGTCTCCGCCGAGCCCTCAGTAACCTCGATGTTCTCAGTGGCTCAATGTCGACAAGGCGCGATCAGTTAGAGACTCGCCACTTTCATGAACAATGATTGTACGGTGAAGTTTTTAAATAAGCGCATTTCCAAATACCTAAACCCCACCCCTACTCCCAACACCCCTACATCCCAACACCGCTACACCCCTACCCCCCTACACCGTGCACCCTACACCCACTACACCCCTCCACCCCTGGGCCCAAGTGAAGCGAGGAACCACTGGATTTGGGCGATGCACCTCGATGTCCCTTCAGATCAGGCACTTCTGCACGCATCCATAACTCGGCCACTGCGCCACTTTTGCATTCCACAAACTCATACTGACACGCATGGAAGAACAAGACACACATGGGTCCGTCCGATTTGGCCGCAGCTTGTACGTCAGTGGAGGGTGGAGGGGTGGGGTGGAGAAGCTTTGTTTTTGAAACAAGCGATTTAAACATAACTTTTATACTACCTCTGTGGCTCCGGGAGCTTAGCCGCCCTCCACTTACCCTAAGGGTCCATGTACCCAAATAGTAGAACATTGGCCCCAAAGTACCTATATAGGGACTACATTAAGGCCAATGTTCTACTATTTGGGTACATGTACCCTTAGGATTATTTAAAACACATCCCCGTAACGCTGCTTATCTTGTCTTTGATCATGTCGCGAATGCTTGTCTTTCGTGTGCACATCTGGGGCTTCTGGTCGAGGAGCTTCTGGCGCATCACGTTCCAACACCAAACCCTAAGGGTCCATGTACCCAAATAGTATATACTTTGGCCAGTGCTGTGGCCAAGAGGAAGTTCCCGGTTTACCGGGGCCAAGCAGCAGGGAGACAGAGCTTTATCTCAACTTCCCTAAGGGTCCATGTGCCCAAATAGCAGAACATTGGCCTGAATGTAATCCCTATATAGGTACTTTGGGGCCAATGTTCTACTATTTGGGTACATGGACCCTTAGGGAAACTGACCTTGCCGTGGGACATTGACACAGTGCCCTTCACCTTTACGTGATACGACATCGCCGCGATATGATGTGATACTGGTTTGAGTCACAATAGCTTCGAAGACAGTCTCACGTAACGTATGACTGCAAAGCTCAAACTCTCAAGCTTCTTTCTGACGTTAAAGCTCATTGCAGGCGAGATACGAACTCACCCAGGAACAAGCCGCAAAGTCGACATAGGAGACGAGTCTCCAAGTAACGACTTCACCGATTCACCAATTCTGCCCCCCCCCCACCCGGGGGGAAGCATTGGTGAATTGGTGAACTGTTGAAGTTTCGTCTAGATTTCAAAATGCGCTGCACACAACCTAAAACCCTAAACGTGTGCCAAGACGATGTTGAAAGACGTGTCGTGTACACCCCAACAGGTGTCCACGACACGCCGTTCTGCATGCCTAAGGAACCCTAACGAATAATGTTTGTAATTAGTTGGGCTTCTATATTACCGAAACAGGGCCACGGTTTAGGGGTCTAGGCTATATAGGGTAGGGGTCGAGGAGTTTTGGGTTCAGGGTTTTAGTGTTTAGGTCTGAACCCTAAACCGAAAACCCGAAACTCCTAAACCCCAAACTCCAAGAACCTAAACCCTAAATCGAAACCCTGAACCCTTAACTCCAAGACCCTAACCCTTAACTCCTTCAAAAGAAACCCTTGCAGCAACTTTCGGCCTAGCCCACGACATTCAAACCCCTATTAAACCCCATCGAAAACCAAAACCTGAGCCCTAACCCTGGGTTTAGGGTTTAGGGTTTAGGGTTCAGACCCCCTACTAAACCCTATCGAAAAGCAAAGCCTGGGCCTTGCGAATGACCTTGTCAATACCCGGCAGCTCCTCCCAGGTCTCAGCGGCCTGGATGGTACCTGGAGTTCGTCAGAGGTTTAGGGTTTAGGGTTTAGGGTTTCGGGGTTTAGGGTTGTTTTTGGTTTACCGTACTAGAAGGATCATAGGACTTGGTGAGTCAGGCCACAAGTACCTTGGTTAGGGTCGTGGCTGAGAGTTTATATAAGCACAGTGACAGTCTTTGTATAATCCTAGTTTCTAGATACCAAACCCAATGCTTCCAAGGACCTCATAGTTAGGGACCTAGACCCCTTCTAAACCCTAAACCCTAAACCCTAAACCCCAATCGGGGTTGTAGGGCTTCCAACTTTATGGTTTTTAGAGCTTCTAGGGCACATAAAGAAGGATCTCGGTTTAGGGCTAAGGGGTTTAGGGTTCAGGGGCTTAGGGTTAGTGTTTAGGGTTTAGGGTTTAGGGCTCAGGGATCTGACCTTGGTGGGGTCTGAGGTTTGCGTAATTGCCTTGTACTGGGCAATACAAGGTGGTCAGAAACTCTGCTAAGCATCCTGTTCCCTTGAACTGTAAACCGTAGAATAACGAACAAAGAAGCGAACAGTACAACCTCAAACCCCTAAACCCTGGAAGCCCTAAGCCCGAAAAGCATCCTAACTAACTTCAAACCTAGGCTCTAAACCTTGAACCCTTAAGCCCTCTAAGCCCTAAACATCCCTAACTTTGTCCCTAAGCCGTATATGAACCGGTCTTTCGGACAGCTCACCTTTCAGTCCGGAACTCGAGGAAAACAGAGCACCACCGGAGCTTGTGGCCTCCACTAAGCGCAAGGAAGATAGAGAGTTCCTCTTCAGGGTTTAGGATTTAGGGCTTAGGGTACCTATCTGGGAATCCAAAAACCTGTACTGTTTTCAGGGTTCGACGCATTAACTGAGGGGTCATATCCTACCATTTTGGAGGATTTGGGGTCACAGGTACAGTTCAGGAATTTGGGTTCGGGGGTTTAGGGTGTGTGTGTGTGTGTGTGTGTGTGTGTGTGGCTGTGTGCGTGTGCGTGTGCGTGTGCGTGTGCGTGTGCGTGTGCGTGTGCGTGTGCGTGTGCGTGTGCGTGTGCGTGGGCGTGTGTGTGTGTGTGTGTGTGTGTGTGTGTGTGTGTGTGTGGGCGTGGGCGTGGGCGTGGGCGTGGGCGTGTGCGTGTGCGCGTGCGTGTGCTTGTGTGTGTGTGTGTGTGTGTGTGTGTGTATGTGTGTGTGTGTGTATGTGTATGTGTGCGTGTGCGTTTGCGTGTGCTTGTGTGTGTATAGGGTTTAAGGTTTCCAGGGTTTCTTGGCTTGTTGGTTCAGGGTTTAGGGTAGGCTTCAGAGTACCTCTGAGTGCTCCCGACGATTGACTGCTGCAAAAACCTGGAGGGGCAGCTGTCACTATCGTGTGCATTCGCCTGGGTCGACAATGCACGGTGCTCTTGGTAGTGGGATTCGGCTAAGTTTCCACCGAGGTTTTGATGCTTGCTGTCGCTTGTGTTTGTGGTCTTCATCAATGACCGTGCTAGGTTTCTGCAATCTTTCAAGGAACCCTTATAGGAACCTCTAGAGGAACCCTTGTAGACCCCTGTAAAGGAACCCTAAACCCCTCCCAAACTACCCTCTAGTATTATAACCCTCAACCCGAAGTCCTCTAGATCCCTTGTAGGATCCCTTCAAAGGAACCCCTACACCCTATAGGTCCCTCTGCGGAGCCCGAGAATCCCCCGACGTAGAACTCCGTAACGGGCCATGTGCCCAAATAGTATAGCGTTTAGGGTTTAGGGTTTCGGGGAATATACTTTGGCCTTAATGAAGTAATCCCTATGTAGGCACCTTAGAGCCAAAGTATATACTACGGTTGATGATAGAAATCCTGCATTTCCCATAGTAAGGAATATACCATGCTGCCTTGGGCACATGGACGCTTAGGGACTTGTCGTTGCCTTGGCCACGACCCCGGCGACGCCGAGAAGAGCTAGGCCGGCGCCAAGGAAGTACCTTTTTGTCTGAAGGGTTGCTACTGCTCGGGTTCAGGGTTGAGGGCTTATACGGTTTACAGGGTTTAGGGGTTACAAAGGGCTGAAGGGTTTAGATAAATTCTAGCGTTAACTACTGTTGCTGCTGCTGCTGCTGCTGACTGCGACTGTTACCGCTACTGCTACTGCTGATGACAGTAGCAAGCGACTAGCAGTAAGACCGGGAAATAAGTTACAATAATGACAAGTAGTCGTCATAGCAATCAAAGTAGCAGCAGTGATAATCGTGTTTAATTTGCTAATAAGCATGGTCCGACGATAATACTAGATGGTCTATAGTAGCAGTAATGACAAATCGTCAGCCAAGCCGCCACTTGCGAGAGGTGCGCGCCTCTGGCTGGGCCTGCTGATGGCCCAGGCCCTCGTAGTCCACAACGGCATCATGCACAATTGGGGAGGCCGGTGCCATGGCGAACAAGGTATGTTGCGGGGCAGAGTGCGAGAGGCTCGAGCGAGACTTGAGCTAAGACGAATGTAAGGGTTTACTTCTTTAGTCTTATTAGGGTTTCGTAAGCAAGACACCAGTTCCGAATTCCAAAGCGCAACCACCACTTGTTAACCATGCCAGCCCAACCCCGCAGGAGATACCGAATGCTTTACCAGGAGACTCTGTTCATTTCATACTGGACACTACAACGAACAAAATATAGCTGATACGTGCACGAACCACTTGATTGGACCCTTCTTTTAGCATGCGCACGGTCTTCGCAGTGCTGCAGCAGGAAGGGTAAGTAGAGCTTCGTACCAAGGTGCACTCTGCAGGCGCCAACAGCCCACATGTCAAAGGGAATCACCCCATGTTCTACTCCAAGCAACTCGAACCCAGTAACTCAGTAGTCACTCCTCAAGGGACGATGCAGAGGCACCATTCCATGCAGTGACAACACTACTTAAGAAAATATAGGACCCAGGAAGAAGCAGCTGAGTGTGGAAACGCTGAGTTCCCAACGCTATACACTAAATCCTTCCCGAATCCCTTCACGATTTCTTATGTAGTACTCTCACTTGGCTGAACATGTCGGGGCCAACAGCTCACAGAATGTCTGAACCTGACATGCCAAAGCCTCGAATCCGTAGCCCAAAACTCCATGATTCCTAAACCATCAACAGTATCTTTGCTGGCCCCTAGATGTTGAGAGGCCGCACAGGTTACCCTGGAAAGGCCTATTCGGACCCAGTTTGCCCATTCGGCGTACCAAGAGGTCCTTGCCCTTGGGCTCCAGGGCTTGTTTAGGGTTCCTTCCAAGCCTAGTCTTTGTGGTCTTATATCGGTTTATACGGGTTGTTACGCCTTACTTAAGAAACATAGCTTGAAACAACGAGGGCTTCATATTAAGACTTAATATCATATTGCTGATTCAAGATAAGAGTTCTTGGGCTAAGGGGGCTGTGTATACCTTCTCGGGTCTCATACGGGATATTGGCTTATATGTACGACAGGTACCTTAATCTTATAAGTGTCAAGCGTTTAATTGGTAGCCTACCTGTAACCCCAAACCCTACAAAAATAATAGGTTAGGACTGTCATGACCCATGTATTTGTTCGCCTTGGCAGCGTGGTAAGAGGTTCCATGTCCCCTCCAAAAACCGCTTTCCCCACCTCCCAACCCCCTCCCCGATAACCCAATTCCTCCCGACTTCCTGGCCCGAACGACCAGAAATCTAACCGTTTCCTCCCCCGCCCCCCAAGCGTCTTGTGCTTGTAATGCCCCGGATACTATTCGCCAGGCTGAGGTGGACGACACGAAGCATTTACACATCATAGCTGCCAGCCCCAGAAACCATAGGCTTTCGAATTATCGGGTACTGCTCAGGTAGCTGGAACCCTACATCCTAAACCCTCAACAAACCCTAAACAAGCCCCTCTGGCTGAGCAGCTGCCACCTGAACATTTGAAGCTGTCTAAGCAATACACGGACCGGCAGGTGTACAAAGTCTCCAACACCTACATAAAGCAGTCCGGAGTCCCGATAAACCCTAAACCCCACAATTCTGAAAACAAGCCTCTAAGTTCGGAGCCGCTGCTGCTGATACTGTGACGGGCTTCGCCCATCACGCAAAAACTTCGCAGCTCTTTCGCCACTTTCGGGCTCCAGGGTTCTTTAGGGACTACTCTACAATTCAAGGTATCATAGGGTTCCTTTAGGATATAGAGCTCCAAAGTTTCAGGGATGTGGGGGGTTTATTGCGTCACTGGGCTCGACTCGGTAACTGGAGCCCCAGGGAAGCATGCGAAGCAGCTTAAAGGTCGGCGCAATCCGAAGTGGAGGCGATGCCGGCAGCCGGGCCGTTGGTGAGCGCGGCCACCATGTCCTATAGACTCTTCTTCAAGGCACATTGACTCTTAGACTTTTTTCGTTCCTTCTAGATCTCAGAAACTAACAACAAGAGTTTAGAGCAAACCTTCTCAAGAACGGCCAAGTGTCGGAGATGTCTGCAGTGCACAGGGCCTTCTGGTCGGCACCCACTTGGCAGTCCGAGACGGCGAGGGCCGTAAACTGGGAGATCCAAGCAAAGGAGGAAATGATGTTCATGATGCCAACAGCGCAGGACTTCGGGTCGGCACAAGCGCTGCCCGCGGCACGAATCTGGAGGATGACTCGGACGATGTAGGAAGCGGAGTTGGTGACGTCCACGGCGCACTGCACGATGTCGTAGTCACGATTGCGCTGCTGGTCCTTGTGGCCCTTGACCTTCAAGGCCTTGTCGACCGCCGGCGAAGCTCCTGCCGGGACGAACTCCTTCCAGGGAGGGGAGATCGTCTCCGTGCGCGTGAGGATCTGGAGGGCATTCTTGCCGAAGTTGCAGTCCGCCCGGGCAGCGGCGCCCACGGTGGCGATCTCGCCGAAGTTGGCCATGAGAGCTGTGAAGTCGCCAGCGCACAACGCACCGTTGTTGACGGCCTGGCCACAGGCGTTCGCCGCAAAGGAGAGGTACGAGGCGATCCAGCTGATGGACGTGATGAAGCCTGCGACGCTGGCGGCGCATCCAACCGGCGAGTTGTTCGGGCACTCAAGGCCATCGTAGTCAATGGCCTCGTACAGGAGAATCAACCCGATAATACCTACAAGCAAACAAAGCCCCGAAACAAACATAAACCCTAAACCCTACAAAACCTATATGCACGCGATATGCCCTTATAAACCTAAACCCCGACACCTTAAAAACACATAAACCCGCTCACCCCCCAACCCGAGGCCGTGCTCTCAATGGCCTTGTAGAGGAACACGACAGCCTGCCCAAGGTAGGCGGCTGCCTGGACGGTGTCAATGACGCACTCCGTGCGGATCCTGAGATTCCCAAACAAAAGACCAGAAGCTAAACTTTGCGTCTAGGATTGAAAGTCGTTTCCAGAAACATACGATACGAAATTATAACTTATCTCAAACCCATACAAACAGTCAACCTCATAAGCCCGAAAAAGTTGAAAGAAAGCTTCAAAAGTTTGGGTGTATACAATTGGAGAACTAAGGATCCAAGGCAACTCCTCAGGTTGGGAGTCATAGAAGAGATCCTGCAGATGTCGCAACAACACCCCTTGTAGTTACTTTTGATGATATTAATCCTGCACTACCTTAAGGACCCTAGACTATGGGAATTATGGTATATTCTGTATGATGGGTAATGCAGGGCTTATATCATCAGCCGCAATAAGGATCCTTTCCGTATTTTCAGGTCAGTCTAACCCCTTAGTTGAACAATGTTGAACATGTACAACTCGCTAGTCCAAGGCAGGGTCATACCGCAGCACACAGAAGCCCGCATCACCCTCAGGGTGTGAAACGTGGAGTGCACCCGTGGTGGTGTGGAGCCATGCCCGATAAGGCAGATCCAGGCAGATGGCAGACAACTCCAAACATCCACCCCAACTCGGGTTGGCGTTCATCTCGTCAGCTGCTGTTCGGTTCGCCGGCCGTCCCAAAGTGTTATGAGATCCAACAGCTTTCCACATGGGTTTAAAAGTCTCAGAATGCTTGTGCAGGCAAAGATGAGCATAGCGTCGAAGCTGTCTATGAGTAATTAGTTACGTGTTGTGCCTCCGAAGTTGACCTGTACCAATGCACAGGTACAGCTCGCTTGGCTTCGCGTGGAGCATCATCCTTCGAAGGAGTGTCACCCACAAGCTGGGCTTACGTCATGTCAACGTCCTCCCGCCGGCACCTGCCTCGTCGAGCCTGCTGGTTGCCCTTGGTAACAGTGGCCAGCTCCCCAAACGAAACAAACCTGCGACTAGCGATAGGAACATAAGGATGAGCATGATCCGGTCCACCCCGCCGCGTGCTTTGCATGTTCCCTGACGACGACGACGACGACGACGACGACGACGACGACGACGATGAGCTGACTGCATCACCGCCCCAATCGACCTCGTGGCCTGGATATTCCAAGCGTTGCATTTGCATCCTTCGTGACAAGACTGCACCACCGCAGAATGGAACCCCAAGACTTGCCGAACCCCTTGGTTTCCAGCCCAAACCGTTGCAAACTTGCCCAGCTGCCGAATCAGGTCCTTCCACGACTCCTGCTTTTAAGCCTGGTTACTGGTGATACGAACCAAGAGTGACTTGGCCCGCAGCAGGATTGACGGTAGTGGCTTCCGAACAGTGAAAGTGCCCTCCAGCCTGGTCGACAAAGAAAGGGGGTCACTGCCGAGACAAAAAATCCAGTGCCGAATGTGCCTAAGCTTGCCGTCTTGCATGCCCGGACGGGCACAACGGTCGCCCCGCCCTGCCAGAAACCTCAGCAGACCAAAGTTCCTTTTCCAGGCCAGCAGCCCAGACAACGGTCATGGAGTTGTCGGGCCCATCAATTGTTGGCAGCGATCAACATGATGTCCCAAACTTCCACCAAAAGTAAAGCCAGCGCTCCACCACAAGCCACCTAAGATGATGGCATTAGGAACCCAGCCGGCCGGCCGCCAAATGCGGGAACGAAGCTCGCAGCCTCTGCCTCGCCCATTGCTTCCATGGCTAGCTCGCTGCGAGGAGAAGAACCTGGGGAGCCCGGAAGGGCTACATGTAGAGTAACCGCGGCAATCTCCCGACAAAGTCGAGATGATCTGTTGATCGCCATCCTGCAAATGTCGCAGCAAAACTCCTTGGAGCTCGTAAGGATCGCCTCCGTATTCAGGGTTTAGGGTTTAGGGAAGGATCCCTTCCATATTTTGAGATCGGTCTAAGCCCTTAGTTGAGTCATACACCATACCATATTAGAACAAGCATCCCTCTGTAATCTAATACATAAATTCCTGAACATACTGTTGATGATATTAATAGTGCGCTACCTTAAGCACCCTAAACTATGGGAAGTATTGCATATTCCTTATTACGGGTAATGTAGGGTTTATATCATCAACCGTAACAAGGATCCCTTCCGTATTTTCAGGTCACTCTAACTCCTCAGTTGAACATCTCACTAGTCCAAGGTGCGTACGAAGTCCCTTAACTGAGCGGCTTTGAAGTCTTACACCCTAAACCCTAAGCCCTAAGCCCAGACCCTAAACCCCATTCCCTGAACCCTTTAGACCCTACTTGGAGGATCATGGGACTTAGTAAGTAAGGTTATAAGTCCCCCAATTGGGGTTATAAGTATAGTTACCTTGGTTATAACCCTACTTACTAAGTCCCATGATCCTGTAAGTCTAGACCTGGAAATTTAGACCGCGTCCTGCAGATTGCGCATTGGCTTGTCCTGCTTCAAGCTCTGTGCCTCGCCGGGGTGGTCATGTGGCCGCCTTACTGACTATTATAGGGTTCTTTTGAAAAGGATCCTTTTTAAAAGGATTCTGTTTTGAAGGTTCCGTTTTGAAGGGTCCCCCTTTTTCTCAAGAGTCTTTGATGCAGTGGCCTTAGTAAACTTCTTCTTAAGTGTTTAGGGTTTGGGGCCAGTTTAGGGCTTCTAAGCCCTATTCGGTCTAGGGTTTCGGGTGCAAGGTTTAGGGCGAAGTATGTACCCTAAGTCTAAACTCCCAAACCTATGCTCTAAACTCTGAGCCCCAAACATCAAACTCCAATTCCCGATCTCTGAGCCCTCAACCGAAAAACCCTAGACCCTAAACAGAGCACCTTGCTTCCACTTTCCGCCTAGCGGAATTTTAACCCCTATTCGAGCCCTTCTAGGAAGCCTCATCGTAACCCAACAAAGAAACCCACACAGAACCCGTATAGTGATACATGAAGCAGCCCTTACGGAACCCTTACAGTAACGGCTGAAAGCTCCAAACCCAAAACCCTAAAACCCTAA